AGTATTGTAATAATAGGCTTCTTGTTCAGAATAGAAGCTGCCTATGTGATTGAGCTATTTTTAAAAAATTTCAAGATAATGTTCTTTAGTAACAGCTTCTATTATAAAGCTGTCATCCTCTTTTTGTCACATGACATTTCATGTTGAATGAAGTGGTATTACCCAGGCACCTTCATCCCTATCTGCCACCTAAATTGTTAACTATCATTAATATTTATTGTTCTTCAAAACCCTTCACTAAGATGTATGATTCACCAAGAAAGGCACAAACCTGACTATAAAAGTGATGGGAAACTGGTTCCTTAGTAATTCTCTTTTGAAAGTCTCAAGAAAAAAGAGGACATTTTCATGTTGGGTGGCAAACTCACCTTAATTTTGTGGGAGAGAAAGAAAAAAAAAATAAGTTGTTTACAAAATATTTGGATTCTTTTTAGGATTTTCGTTCCTTAGAAGATTTACAAGTGGACCTTAGATAATTTTAGCACAAGGAGCTGGCAGCACTGGATCTTGTTGAAATTCCTCCCTTCCTATAGAATGGGGGGGGTATTGGAGGATTCACTTTGCTTGTACCCCAAGACCTGTGTACCGGAGAAGTGAATGAAAGGGAATAAAGGTAGGAGATGGAGGTGGGATGGGAGGAAGATCAGCTGGAGGTGGCAGAGGGAGAGAACCTGGGACAAGCTCCTTCTTGGCCTCCTGTTCCCCAGCCAAAGAATCAAAGGCAGGAAGTGGTTGTTCCTACAATGCAACTCTTCCGCTGTTACCCAACTATCAATGGCGAGGACAGTGTTTCCTACTCACTAGAAACTTTTTCCATTGGAGATATTATTCTATAGAGGAAAGAAAAAGAAGAAGAAATGTAGAAAAGTAAGATGCATAAGTACTAAATATGTATGTCATGTCAGGAAAACATTTTCCCAACCCAAATGTTAACAAATATAAGCACATAACAGGAGAAATATATAAATAAATATTACTCCATTTAATTTTCCATAAAAATTTGTCATGAAATGATCTTAAAATATTTAGTGAAAGTTTTCAATGAATAAGTGATTAATCAGTATCATTTTGCACTTGGTATGCGCTTGACTTAAATAACGATTAGATATTACTAGCTAGATTTAATATTTACACTTTCTTCTATACAGAACTCTGTGGCAATAAAGATAATGCCATTTGTTCATTTGGGTGATTATTTCCACCCTCAGTGCCATGTATACCTAGTCCATAATAGATGCTCAAATAAAAAGATCCTATCTCAGAGAAGTAAGGATCCCTAGTATCTAATAATTAGGCGGTCTTTTAAAAGAAAAAATAAACTTGCACAATGAGCAGGAAGTGTCACTTCTAGGTTTCTATTCTATTGAAATTATGCCATGTCAAGATAAGAGAACATGTACAATGATATTGTTTGCAGCATTATATATAAAAGCAACAATGGAAAATCCCTATGGCGATGGAAAAAGGGTGCAATAATTTAGGGGACCTCTGGAATGGAATGTCATTCTGCCATGAAACAGAATAAGATTGATTCTAACCTAGGTACATGTCCATATTATATTCCACTTTACAAGTAAGTTGCAGACTAATATGTACGGCATGATTTCATTTTCATAAAGAAAAGAAGCACATGTTTCACAAGGTATCTATATAAACAAGGGAAGATTTCTAGAAGAGTGCCCCCAAGTGGAAACTGGGGTTAGCAATGAAGAGTATCAGAAAGAGCCTTCTACTTCTTTCTTTATGGAAAAGTAGTAGATTATAGACAGTAAAAAAAAAAAAAAGTAGTAAGATTATAGACAGCTTTTACTTTGAAGGGAAAATTCAAGTTAAAACAAATTAATTTTATAATGCTAAAGAGATTTCAATTTTTTAATTTGCAATACTTTGCTTATAATCAAGCAGATTACAGTTTCATATAAAATTATGACATTAAGAGAAATTATAATTATTATATATTTATATATAACTTATTTCATATAAAAATTATATGAAATTGATAGAAATTATGGCTTTCTCTAACATGCCTTTAAATTGATCCTATTTTTTGGAGTTAAAGATCTTTTTGTTTGTGGCATATACTTGCATTGGCTGGGTGCCATGTTATGTCCATTCAGTTTCTGCATGTGTGGCCCAAGGCCAGTACTGGCCAGGAGTCACACTCAGGGGAACTGTTTTTTTTTTTTTTTAATTTTTATTGTTGGCTGTTCAAAACATTACATAGTTCTTGATATATCATATTTCACAATTTGATTCAAGTGGGTTATGAGCTCCCATTTTTACCCCATACACAGATTGCAGAATCACATCAGTTACACATCCATTGATTTACATATTGCCATACTAGTGTCTGTTGTATTCTGCTGCCTTTCCTATCCTCTACTATCCCCCCTCCCCTCCCCTCCCCTCCCCTCTTCTCTCTCTGCCCCCTCTACTGACATTCGTTTGTCCCCCTTGTATTATTTTTCCCTTTCCCCTCACTTCCTGTTGTATGTACTTTTGTATAATCCTGAGGGTCTCCTTCCATTTCCACGCACTTTCCCTTCTCTCTCCCTTTCCCTCCCACCTCTCATCCCTGTTTAATGTTAATCTTCTTCTCATGCTCTTCGACCCTACTCTGTTCTTAGTTACTCTCCTTATATCAAAGAAGACATTTGGCATTTGTTTTTTAGGGATTGGCTAGCTTCACTTAGCATAATCTGCTCTAATGCCATCCATTTCCCTGTAAATTCTATGATTTTGTCATTTTTTAATGCAGAGTAATACTCCATTGTGTATAAATGCCACATTTTTTTTATCCATTCATCCATTGAAGGGCATCTAGGTTGGTTCCACAGTCTAGCTATTGTGAATTGTGCTGCTATGAACATCGATGTAGCAGTGTCCCTGTAGCATGCTCTTTTTAGGTCTTTAGGGAATAGACCGAGAAGGGGAATAGCTGGGTCAAATGGTGGCTCCATTCCCAGCTTTCCAAGAAATCTCCATACTGCTTTCCAAATTGGCTGCACCAATTTGCAGTCCCACCAGCAATGTACAAGTGTACCCTTTTCCCCACATCCTCGCCAGCACTTGTTGTTGTTTGACTTCATAATGGCTGCCAATCTAACTGGAGTGAGATGGTATCTTAGGGTGGTTTTGATTTGCATTTCTCTGACTGCTAGAAATGGTGAGCATTTTTTCATGTACTTGTTGATTGATTGTATGTCCTCCTCTGAGAAGTGTCTGTTCAGGTCCTTGGCCCATTTGTTGATTGGGTTGTTTGTTCTCTTATTGTCTAATTTTTTGAGTTCTTTGTATACTCTGGATATTAGGGCTCTATCTGAAGTGTGAGGAGTAAAGATTTGTTCCCAGGATGTAGGCTCTCTATTTACCTCTCTTATTGTATCTTTTGCTGAGAAAAAACTTTTTAGTTTGAGTAAATCCCATTTGTTGATTCTAGTTATTAACTTTTGTGCTATGGGTGTCCTATTGAGGAATTTGGAGCCCGACCCCACCGACTGTAGATCGTAGCCAACTTTTTCTTCTATCAGACGGCGTGTCTCTGATTTGATATCAAGCTCCTTGATCCATTTTGAATTAACTTTTGTGCATGGCGAGAGAAAGGGATTCAGTTTCATTTTGTTGCATGTGGATTTCCAGTTTTCCCAGCACCATTTGTTGAAGATGCTATCCTTCCTCCATTGCATGCTTTTAGCCCCTTTATCAAATATAAGGTAGTTGTAGTTTTGTGGATTGGTTTCTGTGTCCTCTATTCTGTACCATTGGTCCACCCGCCTGTTTTGGTACCAGTACCATGCTGGGGAACTGTTTTTGAAGAAGGTGGAGGACCTGTAACTTTGTACAAAAGCACAACAATGATCATTGGCAGCCCTGGCCTTAGTTACATAGTATAGTATTTGAAAGTGAATAAAACTACAGTTCCTTATATAGTCTAGTTAGGCTTTTTGCCAAGTTGAATTTGCCCTCACAACTTGTCTGGTTCTGTCTTTTGGGGTTTCCAACTACTTCTTGGGTCAGAAAGAAACTTCTAGAATATTGTTCTTCAAGGCCCTCAGCTGAATGTTTTTTTTTCCCAGCAATTGCTCTCTCCCATGTCTCTAGCTTTTTACAAAATTTTATTGGTGCCATATAATTATACATAATAGTATATTATGTATAATATTATTACACATTTGTACTTGCACACAATATAACAATATAATTTGGTCAGTTTCATTTCCCGATACCTCTTCTTTCCTTATTCCTTCTCCAGTAATTGCCTTTCTCTACTGGTCTCCCTTCTATTTTCATGAGACCTCACTTTCCCCACCCCAACCTGTATTTTTTTTCTTCTTTTTTTCTTTTTTCTATCTTCCTCATATGAGAGACAACATTTGACCCTTGACTTTATGAGTTTGGCTTATTTTGTTTACATAATGCTCTCAAGTTCTATCCACTTTCTGGCAAATGACACAATTTAGTTCTTCTTTTTAGCTGAGTAAAGTCCACTGTGGTATATATGTGGTATATATGTGTGTATGTGTGTGTGTGTGTGTGTGTCTGTATATATATCACATTTCCTATATTCACTCCATTCACCAGTTGCCATGTCTCTGGCTCTGACACCCCCCCCCCCTTCCAACTTATGGGACTTGTTCAAACTCACAAGTTCTTGAATAGGTCCCTTCCCCATTCTTTCTCTTTCTTTCTTTTTTTTCCCCTTTCCTATATTGGAGATTGAACTCAGGGCAAATGCTCTATCACTGAGCTGTATTTCCTCTTTTAAACATTTTGAGAACAGGGTCTCACAAAGTTGCCCAGACTTCAAACTTGAGATCCTCCTGCCTCAGCTTCCCAAATAGCTAGAATTACAGGAGTGCCCTGTATCTCTTAAACTTTCACATTTACAGGTGGCTTGATTTGCACACAATTAAAGAAGAACAGAAGTCAAGCAGTTGCTGACAATACATAAAAATACTTTATTAGGTTCCAAAATGCGAAAATGGAGATGTTAACCTATTTTAGTATAAATCCACCACCCTTCTCAAAGAGCCTGCCTTAGCGTCCACGGCTCCCCAGTCCTGGTAGCGCCTGTACTCTTGGGGCCGCAGTAGATACTGCTGTCCCCTGTAGTTGGGCATTTCATAGAGGACCCAGCAGCCCTCCAGCACGTGGAAGGAGCGAACCTCACTGAGGTGGAAACGGTCCTGGATGCAGGAGCAGTCCTCGGTTAGCTCCATCATGAGGCCCTTGTGGTCTTCCCTCTCATAGAGCCGTATCCGGTGGGAGCCTGCCTGTTCCACCTACAAAAAGAAGAATGGGAAAAAGCAAGTGAGTCTCTTCCACAATTCATCCAAACACTACATGAATCTGGAGGCTGGGGTGTTGTGGTTGTGAATATAGAATCTGAGACTCCAAAACTGCTGTGAGGGCTGTACATGGAAGTTTTCTGCTATCATTTAGCAAATATTCATATGCTTAGTTTCTTTCTTTCTTTCTTTCTTTCTTTCTTATCTAGGAGATGGGATTTTAAAGAGGTGCAGACTCTGAGAATTGATTACAAACTCAAATATCTTGATTACTAACTCCCTGTGTTAGCTTAAACCTGTATTTTGGGTAAAAACAAATAGTCTATTTTGACCAGTATTCTCTTAATAAGAATAATAGCTTCCAATTAATACACATATAAACTTAACAGCAGATTTAAGATTTTAAAAATGTAATTCAATGAAACTTTGGTTTAAATAGTCACTTCCAAATTAAAAGACTTTTCCAAACTTGGATACTACCTTTCCATAACCTATCTTGATAAACTGAGTTTTCTTTGTTTTCTAGTCTACAGTACAATGTGTTTAATTCATTTATTAGAAATTCCTTTCATCTAGATAAAAATATATTTGCTAGAAACAGTGCCATCTTATGTCCAGCCAGCTTTCCATCTGCAAGTTTTGTTTTGTATCTCATTATGATATTACATTTGTCACAAACAACTTTGACCTAATGGTGACAGAAATTAAAAATAAAACTGGCACTTCTAAGTGGATTCTTTTTTTCTTTGTTTTCATGCCTGTACACATCTAGGCCCAGGCAGGTGTCTAAAGCCCACTTAACTTTTAAAGGGAAAATTCCTTCCCTCAAACCCACATCAATAAAACATCCCCCAAGTGAGTCCTGCTGCCTAAGGGACTCACTTGGGGGATGAGGCGGCAGGAGCTGATGGAGTCGCTGAGGCCCATCCACTGCTGGTAGTCGGGGTATTCCCCCCGCCTCAATAAGTACTGGTTGCCCTGGTAGTTGGGCTGCTCATAGAGCATCCAGCTGCCGCTGTCCACGCGGATGGAATTGCAGCGGCTGAAGTAGGTCTGCAGGTTGGGGCAGTCGCTGCTGCACTCAGCGGCCCTGGAAGCTCCTGTCCTCGTAGAAAGTGATCTGCAAAGGAAAAATAATTTGAATGAAATCATTTGTGCCTAGTAGGCTTGCACAAAGGCTTTGTTTCCTCTTTCTTTATTTTTCTTTAACTTGTGTTCTGCTTACCTTCCCCATGGCCGGTTGACACAGGTCTATATAGCAGGTCTATATAGCAGGAGGCCTGCTGTGTTGGCAGGAAAACACAAAAGGGGCCGGGGAGGGTGATAAGGGGATTTTATGGATCCCTTTTGCACGCTGCATTCAGGGGCAGTGATTAAAGATTTGCCCTCGTTCTCTGGTATATTCTAACCCTGTCCTGTATGTGCTGCTCTGTGTCGCTTTTATTTGGATTCTTACTGTTTTCTAAATTTATCAGCTCACCAGTCTGAACTTTTGACCTAAAATTCATGTCTCCACACTATGATTCCATTATACCTCGTGAGTCTCCTGGGAAAAATCTGTGCCTTTGTGGAAGTATCTCCAGAATTCTGGGAGGTTTGAATTCTGAGAGAGAATTTTCCTGATATTTTTAGATGACAGAGTCTGGCCTATCTTAGTTTTTATTTATTTATTTATTTTTCTTTACATAAGTTGCCATTCAATGCAGGACACAAATCTAGATTCAGATCTCTTGACTGTTTCTGATTGTGTTGACCTTATGCTTTAAAACATAGTTATTAATGCCTAGTTTAGTGGGTGCACCCTATGTAAAGTCTATTAACTTGTTATAAGAAACAGAGCAAAGGTTTCTGTGGTCGTGGGGCCCAAGACTGAGAAGCGCATGACTTTATGGATGGCTTCCCCTTTTCCAAGGGCAGAGGAAGCTCTTCCCAGGCAAGAGTGGGACCTTTGGACCAGGGCTGTCCTGACTCAAGTCCACTGAATAGCAGCATGGCCTGGCCATGGCAAAGCACAAACTTCTCAAAGCACAAATTACTTGGGAGAGAGAATATGAAGAATGAGAAAGAAAGCAAAACAGGAGCAGCCTCTGACATTCAGAAGCTGCAGCTAAGCCGTGCTTACTCTTCTATTAGACATGAACAATCCCATGAAGTGCCAACTTCTGGCAAGATTACTCCGAGACATGATAAAATGAGATGAAATAAGGCCACTTCACCATTTTGTCTAAACTCAAGCATAAATAAAGTTGATGTGTCACCCACAGAATAACAAACACCCCCTTCTCAGCCAAAATAATTAACTGCTACTTGTTTGTCAAGTATAATTATCCTCATTCTAGCCTCCTCTTCCCATGGGCAAGATTTGTAGAGATAACCAATCATAAAGTTAATCCTGCTTTATGATAATATCTAATCAAGAGTGAACCCCCACTTTTTAGACCCTTCCCCAAATCACACAACCAAAGTACAAGTCCTAGAATAGGTTCCTTTCAACCTCTTCTCACGGAAAACATTCCAGTCTTCCCCATCATGTGAGTTCTCTCAGGACACAACCAGTCATAAGCCTAACTTGTTTAAAGACAGGCATATTCCTGGTGGTTTTTAGCTAAAGGACTTTGGCATGAGTAAATGGGTTTATGTGTATAATAATGGCACATACCGGGCACAAATGAGCTTTAGTAATCCTAGTGACATCGATACTGGTAATGAAGTGAGTGACATCATCAAGGATAACTTCAGCCTACTTATCTCTCTTAAAGATAAAGAATCTCAAGGATTCCTGAGACAATTATTCTCTACAAAGTCTTTTTTTTTGGGGGGGGGTGAGGAGTTTAAAAAACAAAGTTAGGTTTGGAAGGGATTTTAGTTTTTAAAAACTCTGTTATGCCTAAGAATCACCTTGTGCCAGGCACCATGGTGCATGCCTATAATCCTAGCTACTGGGAGGCTGAGAGGAGGACGGCAAGTTCAAAGCCAGCCTCAGCAAAAAGCCAGGTGCTAAACAACTAGACCCTGTTTCTAAATAAAATACAAAAATTTGGGCTGGGGATGTGACTCAGTGGTAAAGTGCCCTGAGTTCAATCCCCAGTACCCATTCTCCCAAAAAGAATCACCTTGCTTGTTAAAAATGCAAATTACTACAAAGAAAAGAAAATGCAAATTACCAGTCCCAAGATTTGACATCATTAGATCAGAACAAGGCCCCTGTATTTTTAACCAGCACCAATTAGTTCTTGGACCAAATTTAAAAATACACTTCTGCGATTTATTCCTTCATTTTTTGAGAAGGACATCTTGTGTTTTAGCCATCCCCGGGTAAGGCCTTATTAGCATCTCTACTAAGATTCTCTTTAAACCTGTAGACAGAAACATACTCTGCTTTGTAGAACTATTTCTTGTTCTACAAAATTTGGAGAACCAAAGCAAGGTTACCAGCATTTAAATCACACCCTGGTAAAACAGGCAAATAACATCTCAAAATCATTTTGAAATTTGTCCTGACAAATTGGTATTCATGAATACTTTGAAAATGTCTTGGGAACTCCAAAGGTCCCCATACCACACTATGAGATTTACATTACCAACAGTCTGGCTTGGATACTGTCCAGCATCTCAAGTCCAGGAAACAGACAGTGGGATGCTAGGATAGTTCTGCATTATGCCCTACCCTACTCAAATCGCTCTCCCCAAGGGAGCAAGGGTTTTAATGGTGAAGAAGAAAGAAGGGTATTTAGGGTCCTTGATGCTGGGAGCCATTAGCCAAGTAGGTATGACAATTTCCTTGCCAGCGTACCCCATGTTGCTTAGTGGAAGGACTCGTGGAAATAGGACATTTTGCAGTGACATTGCATCTAAGGTGACCTTGCTCAAGGACCAGGGCGGATCCGGGTTTAGGATGTTCCCGGTTTAGGATAATCCGGGTTTAGGGCGTTCCAGGTTTAAGGTTATTCCTGCTGGGAATAGGGCGTATCCTGCTGCCTGAGTTCCCCTTGAGTTCTCACGGGATTCAGACAGTATTTTTTGGGAGACAGAAGCCCAGTGGGGGTGGATTTGGGCAGAGAACGTGGATTTCCCCAGAACGTGATTGTAGACGGCTGGTGTGAGTTCGGGAATAAAGAGTTGCTGTTTGAATACAAGCTGTGTGGTGGCTCGTGATTTTGTGCCCAGCCAGACTGCGGCATTTGGCGTCCCGTGCAGGGAACTTCTGAAGCTTAGAGGTAAGTGAAATTTCTCACCCTTGAGGAAGAGAGAAAGAATGGGTGAACATTTCAAAAAACAATGTGTTATTGTTTTGATTTATTTTGTTTTTATTTCAAGTTGCCTGTTCCTAGAACTTTCTCAGGCAAACTGGGGAAAATGGTTGACTCAAGGTTTGAAGTTATTCGCCTCCGAGCAAGATAAATTGTTAGAGGAAGGAGGCACCCCAGTGAAACCAAGAACAATTAGGGCATATGTTGATACAATACAAAAATGTAGCCCATGGCTTTTTAAAGACGAGTTATTAAGTATATCAATGGGACCATCATGGTATCCTGTAGAAGGATTTTTCTTCAACAAGAAAGAGAGGGCTAGTTCTGTTTACTACATTTGTCTAAGATCTTGGTTTTTACAGACATCTGATTAATTTACAAAGCTAAAGTGTTAAAATATCAACCACTAAATATGAAATCAAGTACTCTTACTTATTAAGTTCCATAAGGTAATGTATTTAAACATTATGTGTGTTTTCATAAATTGGTAAATGGAAAAAAGTTATATATTGCTTTGTGTCTGTGTCTTTGCTGAAACAAGGTTACTAAGTGTTAAGATTCTATCAGGTGTAATTTATATACAAAGAATAGAAAAATTTTCAGTTGGGTTTCAATTATAGTATTATAGTATCATAAAAAACATGAAAGTCTTTCATCTTATTAAAGTGGAGTAATTTGTCTAAATCAGAAATTTTATAAGAGTTGTTTCAAAATGTGAATTTATAAAAAGGGTTAATGGTTAAAAAAGAGATAGAAAAAGATTCAAGATGTGGAAATATATTTTAATATAAAAGGTTAAAGGAAAAAGAAATGTTTCTAGATGAGATAATCTCTGTGTGGTAAAGTAAAAAAAGTTGTAAAATGCCATTTAAAAAGATTTTGAGGAAACTAGACTTACTTTAAAAGCTTGAGAAAGGAAGAAAGAAGAAAAAGGTATTTGTACATGGCAGATTGAGACAAAGCTTCTCAATGGAGTTAAAAAAAAAAGCCTTTGGTTGAAGGGCAGCCATGTAAACTAACACTGAAGCGATTTAAACAGAATCTAAGCCTCGTTTAAAAGAGTGAAGTTGTAGGTGGTGAAAAAGTACATTTAAAAGTACAATATAGATGATAATTAAAAGGCTTTAAAAGGTTAAATTGAAGGTGGTCGAGATACCTTCATGGTGGAAAAAAGAAAAAAGATATAAAAAGATTCAAGATATGGAAATATATTTTAATATGGAAGGTTATAAGAAAAAAGAAATGTTTTTAGATGAGATAATCTTTGTGTGATAAAGTAAAAAGTTGTAAAATGTCTAAGTAAGTTGCAAAAGGCTTTAAAAGGTTAAATTGAAGGTGGTTAAAATGCCTTCATGACGGAGGAAAGATTGCGTCATTCGAAGCCTAGTTAATCGTAAAGGCATTACTTAAAAAAAAAAAAAAAGATATGCCAGCACTACCACAATTAACATGGGGTGCGCTGGCACCTTATTCTATCTTGGTGATTTTTATCAGTCTCCCGGTTCTGCCTAGTCTTCCCTCCTCTACGATGCACTCTCTAAGATGCTGGGATGATGGGAATAGAAACACATCAAGTTACATGCTCATCTGTTCCAAATGCTCCCTGACTCCTGTTGCCTTCATGATCAAGTCCTGATTTCTTAGCACCAGGCATGACCTCCTCTGTCTCTTGCCACACTGTCCGATCACACTGAACCACTTGTCATTTCCCAAACACATGATGTTATTTTCACATTGCTCTTGGTTTTCAATATAATGATCTTTCTCATGGAGACACCAATTCTCTACCTTTCACCCAGAGGAATGTTACCCTTTCTTCGAAGCTCAGCTCATGCATCAATTCCACTGTAAAGATTTTCTAGAACCTTTTCTAATCTTCTGGGTTGAATTTAATATAGTTCCCTTGGTCCCCAAATATTGTGTTCATATCACTGTAACAGTAACCTTCACTTATTTGATTATTTTGTTTAGAGATCACGCCCTCAAAATAGATATGGGGAGCCCCAGGAGGGCAGGGACTATCTTTGTTTTAATATTCTCACTAATTGACAAAACAAATTGGCACATAAAGTTTACTCTGTAAATGCTTAGGGTGGTGGTGGGGAATGAATGAATGTTTTTCTCTAGTCTGAAATTCATTGTTACAATAGTCCCTGGGACTGATTTCCAATGCTCAGCTCACAGGAGCTCATATGGTATCATTCATATCTAAGTTCAGCATTGGCAACCTTCCGTGTGTAGAATGATACACTCCATGCTTCATCTATCTAATGGGCTTTTATAATGGTAGAGAAGAGTAAGCAAAAAGAAGAAAACAAGAATGTTGTGTGGTCTCCAAAGCCCTTGACTCTGCAGTCATTTTAACTGTTTAATTTTTTTATCTTGTGAAATGACCAATTAGTGTTGCAACAGCAGCAGCAATTCTCAGAGTTTTGCTGGTGTCTGAGGCCGAGATAGTAGTTGATTTTATCGTCTACCTTTCTGCTTCTTAGCAATTAATGTGGTGTTTGTATTAAATACATGCTTGGTTAAATAATCATAGATCACTTGAGTGGTGACCATGTAAATCAAAGTGTCCCAAACAAAGAGACTAGACAAGAGACTGGCCTCTGGTTCTCTTTCTCAGTTTATCTCTGATGACCATACAACCAGTGGCAAGAAGAGAGGAGTAATCACTGACCTGCCTTTGCTAGACTCCTATAGGATACCCCTTGGAACAAATTGACGATATATTTCTTCTTGTCTAAGCAATAGGTGGTTGTCATTGTCACTTCTGCTCTGACAAACTCACAAAGAAGAAAATTTGAACTCCCAAGTTTCAAAGGGAAGAGAAAAAGAACACATACTAACGTCAGGAACTAACCCCATAGTAGCAGGGTGGGAAGATTAGGGAAAAAGCTCATGATGAGACCCCTTTGGGGACATAACTCAGTGTGGCAATGTTTGGCACTCATTTATGTAGTAACTTCCACTCTGGTTTCATTGTTTGGTGGACATTTTAGTAAGATTAAATGGGCAAGAAGATATTGCAGATTCAAAGGGCGAAAAGAGAGGGAAAAAAAGAAGAGAAAGTTTTAAGTCTGGACTTGGAAATACCTGTGTGTGTGTATGGGGGGGGCAGTATCTAGAGTGTACAGCATGTAGGTTGAACTGGGGTTGTCACAAATTCTTGGTTCATTTTAGTTCCTCCTCCCATTCAACTCTCTGAGGTCCCAGCATTTGCACTAGACAGAGGAGGGAGAGAAAGGAGTAAAGGGTAGAATTAGGAATGGGTTTGGGCATATCTCTTCCCCAGGTCATTCCCCAGGTGACTTTCCCTTCATGTTGGGATTAAGGGGAGAGCAACTTTCTCTTTGCCTAGATACTAGGAATAGGAACAACCAATTTTAAAGAATAATTTTTAAGAATAATTATTTGATTAAAGAAATTCAGGAATTCTAATTTTTATGTACTTCCAGTTCAGGTGTTTTAGTATAATTTCCATTTCTAAAGTCTATGATTTTATGTCTTCTAAGCAAATACTATTAAATAAATAAATAAATAAATAAATAAAACCAAATAAACTTTTGGTTTTCTGATTCATGTTCCCTATATCACTATTAGCAAATAGAGGGCTCTGACTTAGTGTTACCAGGAAACCAATACTACCTTTGGGAGTTTAAAGGTTTAAAAAGCTGGGCTTTAGGAATAGTTAATACAAAATAATCTGAGAACTGAACTACTTTTTTTTCTTTCTTCTTCTTTTTTTAATGCTGGGGATTGAATCCAGGGCCTCATCCATGCCAAGCAAGTGCTATACCATCAACCCATATCCCCAGCCCCAAATCAAACTATTTTCCAGGGAAAGAACCTTCACATGTAATATATGTATACAATAGGCTATCCATGAGTCCTGGTTTTCCCAGAACAATCTTAGTTTGTGCTTCTTGTCCCAGTGTGATTATTAATAATAGGTCAGAAGTGACCCAGTTTAAGACAAAGATTACATGTTCACTCTGTTTATATGCCATGTGAGGTGGGATTTGGGTCAATTCATTAGAAACTCAAAGGATGGGATACTTTCAAAGAATTTTGACCTGAAGTCATCTGTTTCCTTGATGAACTTCACAAGAAACAGCCCCAAGAACCTTATTTATTCACACAGGATGTTTTTAGGGATGTTATTTACTCAATATCCTCTTTACCAGGACTTACAAGAAAACTTTCTTTTAGGTGTTGGTACTGGGGATAATGAAGCTTGTCCTGATTAATGTATTTGTCTTCTAAACTCTGTGAGTTATGAAACTGATCTTGTTTCCTTCTCTGCCTTGGCTGCTTGAGCAAAATCTGTATCCATCTATGCTTAACTTAGCATGTTCCAGTTCACAACTTGAGTTTGAATTTCACTCTTGGTTCCATCTCATCTCTTCCATTTTTGTTTTTCCTCTCACCCAATTTCCTCATCCACTTATTTTTAAATTTATTATTATGAGTTTTACTACCCACTTTAATTCACTTTGAAAAACTAAGGGGAACAAATATGCAGTCACACAAGCTTCTCCAGAAAATTTAGATTGCTTATTTTCTATTCAGCAATATTTTCTATGTATTACTCATAGTACATTATTTCCTATTAAAATGATACGAGACTGAGTTTCTTCATGGGTATGTGTTTTTGGAAAATGCCATTAAATCTTCTACAGAGTTCATAAGGTAAAGAGGCAGTGAATTATATTTGGATTACAAAACTCATGGAGGAAAGAGGGGAAATGGATTTGGGACAGAAGGGATGGTGGCTGTTAGCAGGATAAGGGCAATTGGTAAGACAAGCTTGTTTATTTACAAAGCTAAAATAAGAGTCTAGCTGCTGCAAATGACTCCTCATCAGGGATAGCAATGGGGCCAACTGAAGGGATAACTTGAGGTGTTTCAATAAGTACTTACTTACTTATTATTGTAGCCGCAGATATATCCTTATAAACAACCACAGATTGCTTTAGCCCAGTTGAATGGAACTTTTCTTTGAGCCTGTATATTTTAGTCATCAGAACATGCCAGAAATACTGTTCTCCACATTATTCCCTTTATAAGCAGTTGCTTCCCATCTTGAAAACATGCTATTATGTTTGGCCTAGTGCCGTTACTCCTCATGAATGCTTAATAGACTGAAAGAAATACAGGACTCTATTAGTGCCAGAATCACAAGCTACATTCTTTATTAGATTCTAAAGGAGAAAAGTGGAGAATGTTAATACTTCAATAAAAATCCATGACTCGTCTTAAAGACCCAGCTTTGGCATTTGCAGCTCCCCAGTCAAGATATCTCCTATATTCCCCTGGCTGTAGCAGGTACTGCCGTCCCCTGTAACTGGGCATCTCATAGAGGACCCAGCAGCCCTCCAGCACATTGAGGGAGTGGATTTCATTGAGTTGGAAGCGGTCCTGAAGAGAGAGACAATCGTCTGTGACCTCTGACATTTGTCCTCTAAAGTTATCTCTCTCGTAGATCTTCATTCTGTAAGTGCCAGAGTGCTGGGAGGGCAGACAGGAAAGAAAAGGCAAATCAACACAGAGAAACTAAAGTTCCAAGCCCCATGCCTCCCTAGGTTACACCTGTCCAGAAATGCTCTGGATCCAGGTTTGCTTCCAGAACAATCATATTGCAGTATTCAGAACTCAGGAGCTACCTATAGCTCACTGCTAATGAACCTAGTGATCCATGGGCAAAGCAAGGACGCAGCTTGGCAGCTTTTCAGCCTCCACCCACCAGCCCCCATCCTCAGGTATTAAGATATGCTTAGAATAAAATTTACCACTTCATTTTAGTGCTTGGTTTTTTGAGATAGTGCTTCTCAAAGGAGAAAAGTGAGAGTCATTGGGAGGGAAGGTATCATTTGATATATTACTGTTGTTAAAATTATATCAGCATTTGCTTGGAAAAATATCAACATTTATCTATTTTCCGTAAGATTGATATACTGATTTTCATGTATTTTTTGGAGCACAGGATTATTAAGCTCCTGTGACAGAGAAGATGACATGTTTCCCTCATCCCTGTTTTTCATATCTGCAGTTTGGGTTCAAATCTCAAACCAAATGACTCCTCAGCTCCCCCCCTGGCCTCTTATCTTCAACTTAGCCATTTCTCTGGGCAGCTAGAATAGCCTTAATGAACTCTGACTTGATGGCACTATATCTCATACCTCCCACACTCCCCTTTTCTAAGTACTCTGCAATCACTTTCCAGAAAATACTGAATCTCAAACGTTGGTTTGGGATTGTCTTTTCCTCTGATTTATATCTATAAGTGAGATAATTAGTTACTGATCACTACGCTGGAATAGGAACCAGAAGATAAGAGGAATCATCAAGGAGAAAAATAAGGCCAAACAAATCAGAGAATTTTTAGTCAAGCGAACAGCTCCAGATTGTACTCATAAATTTTGATTCATTTGATTTCTAATTTTATATGGCTTGGAATGAACACTTTAGGCAATTATATCTTGAACAAATGGTAAATTCCATCTCCCCAATATGCCTAATTTTTCTGATTTGATTTTTGTTTTCTTAATTTTCGATTGCACGTAAGATGTAAAATCTGGGAACATGACTTTTAAAAAAATCCCACCACCGAGTTCATGAAGAAAGGCTTTACCTCTAAGGTATCTGTGTACACGGGCCTGTGCTCGCTAAGCATTTCCACTTTCTGCTCTCTAGTTGGAACTATTATGTTTAAGATAAGGTTTTGTTTGTTTTTGGTGCTGGAGATGAAACTCAAGCATACTGAGCTTGTGCTCTACCACTGAACTACACCCCCAGTCCCTCCCTAAGATAATGCCTTTACATGGTTTTTATTTCCAGAAGCCAATGGCACAGACAGAGCCACACTCACTTGGGGGATGAGGCGGCAGGAGCTGATGGAGTCGCTGAGGCCCATCCACTGCTGGTAGTCGGGGTATTCCCCCCGCCTCAATAAGTACTGGTTGCCCTGGTAGTTGGGCTGCTCATAGAGCATCCAGCTGCCGCTGTCCACGCGGATGGAGTTGCAGCGGCTGAAGTAGGTCTGCAGGTTGGGGCAGTCGCTGCTGCACTCGTAGCAGCGGCCCTGGAAGCTCCTGTCCTCGTAGAAAGTGATCTGCAAAGGAAGAGTGGAAGCATGAGCGATTTGCCTCCACGGAGGATGCTACACCAGGGCCAAGATGGAGCGTTAGGTCCCCACCCAGGACTCACCTTTCCCATGTTGGAGAGGGCAAACAGGGATGTTCTCTCGGTACTGTGGATCTCTGTATCGCTGTATATATAGCAGCCCTGACTGCTGCCTCCACAGGAAATCACACAAAAGGGCCCATTGCGGGAGTGAGGGGATTTGCAAGCTCCGCGCTCTCCCTCCCCCTCCCCACTGGGGTTGGCTGAATGGTTTACTCTCATTCTTTCTGGTAGGTTCGAGTTGCTCTAATTCACTAAAGCTGTTGTTGCCACCAAAGTGAAAAGAGTCTTTACTCTTTTAGTTGAGCAAAAGGGAGGGCGAAACTCTATCCCTATGATTTTATTTTATAGTTTACTGTGCTTAATTGACTTCTCAAAGGTGATCATATTTAGCAATGCATTCCACTCAGGGACCGGTGCTTTGTTTTTTAACTTTTTAAAAAACTTGAATTTAAATAATAAGGAATCTTAAGGAAGAGGGAATCAAGAGAAGTAATCTGTAATCTGTGAAAGTGTTTTGAAAAACATAAAAATTCAAGATTCCATGATCATCACTATTATTTGGGGAATCACCTTGAATAGAATTATTACTAGACTGGAATTCATAGGCTCCTGGAGGCAGGGGAGTCTCTCTTGTTCATTTAGCCTTGAGCCCTAGAACAGAGGTTTGGCACACTCCTTGGCACACACATTTAGTGGGCCCGCAATACTGGAAGGAAAGCAGATAATTGTGATCTTCCTCCATTCCTCTCATCTCCCTAAGGTCCTAAATGCTTCTTTCTGCTGTGGATGCCCAAATTCTGCTTCCTCTTTGCCATTCCACCCCTTCTTCAAATGTCTTAAGATCTTTCTTCTTAAAAAATCATTAAAACCCTTGCTTTCTTGACAAGGGCAGTTTGAGTAGTGTAAGAAGTTCTGCAGAAGTATCTCCCATCCAGGTCCTGGGACTTAGATGCTGGACAGCATCCAGGCTAGCCTGTCTGGCTTCTTGAAAATGTGGATCTCACAGTATGGTGAACACTTTGGGTCCCTGAGACAATTTCAAACTGTTCATACCACCAAGACAGTTTTCAAAATAATACTAAGATGTCATTTACCTTTTATTCACTCTCATTCTTTCATGAATGGGCAGCGTTGTTTTTCCGGAGGCTACATGGCAATTAAAGAGATTTTGCAAAAATGTAAAAATGATGCCACATTTTTCATTACTTATTCTTTGAAAATTTTGGTTGTTAATCATAAGCATGTATTATTTATGTAGCATGCAGTAGGTTTACTGGCTAAGACCCTTCAGGGCAAGAAAGGTAAACCCATACCTGGGGTATGCATTGATTCCTATCAGGGTGAGTCATTATCCCTTCCAAGGGGAAACGGAATCCAGGTATTCAGCTCATCATCAAGTGGCTGATTGGTCTCTTCAAGGTATGGGCCACACTGAGGCACAGTTGGTCCTTCTTGCTGGCAGATTGGACATTGTACAGAGACAGTAGCTGATTTCGCCTTGGCCATGTGGGAGCTAAGGCCTAACCTTCACCTTTGCCACCATGAACACTCTGCTCTGCCCAGGAGGTCATTGTGTCAGCACTAGGGTAGCTGATGGCAGAGAATGATTGATAGCCAATGACCATATCATTTTTTCTTTTTATTTGTGGAGGGAAGGCGTATTGGGTTTCAACCCAGGGGTGATTTACCACTGAGCTACATTCCTATTCCCTTTAAAAATTTTTAAATTTTGAGACAGGGTGCTTAGGAACTCATTAAGTTCTGGAGGCAGGCCTTGAATTTGCCATCCTCCTGTCTCAGCCTCAGAACACTGGGATTATAAGCATGTGCCACCATGCCTGCTCCTAAATCATTCTTTCTGCTTTGTTGTTTAGTGTGCCTTCCATGGTGGTTGCCCTGAATAGGCATTAATATGGGGATACAATCATCTTCATATTCTGTACCCGCTCCAATGTTTGCATATACATTTCTACCCCAGACCTGCTTGTCCTTAACCTTTCTCCTTCCTGGCCCTGGACCAACCAGCCATCGTCACTCATCACTGCTCAGTATTCTATGTATATCCTATCTACTTTTATATATTCTCTATATAACCTATCTACTTTTCTTTCTACACAAAGTGGATGGGCAGGGACACTTCCTCAAGGTTGCCCCTGGGAGCATTTCCTTCTCTGCTATTTTTGGGGCCACCCTTGAGAGAGCCATGATCATGCAGGAGCCCTCCATTTGGGGCTATCTATCACATAGATACACTCTGTCTTTGGTTCTGATGTACACACACACACCAAGGCAACCACGAGAGAACCAAGCTCACCCAGCCTTTTTCCTCTTCCATCAGATTGCAGATTGCGAAAAGATGCCTGTAGTAAGTGTGAACTGGGAGGGAGCAGGGCAATAGCAGAGCCTCAGCCAGTCCCACAGGGAACTTTCCAGCTAGAGTCCTTGAGGACTGAGGTAAGGGGACCAGGACTGTGTCCCTGCATTGCCCAGTCATCTGATGTGAGCTGTGGCTATGGAGGGGCCTGAGCTTGGATGAGACAGCACCCTTCAGCGGAGGGAAATTCCTTGAGACAAACTCAGCTTTCAGCTATCAGTATCTGGGAGAAAGAGCGACTGACCCTGAGTGGGAGTCTGGGCAGCACACCAGTGTCCTCTGTAAGAGAAAGTTGATGGTCTCACTGTCTGAGACAACCACAGTGAATCTTTTGGTATTTATCTCTATATAAAACTCATGTGTGGTTGTATTACTTACACAGTGTGGCATGCTCTTGTGTTCTTCTAGGTAGTTTTTTAAATAAAGGGATTAATAAAACTGATTATATTTAGCCTTTTTAACACAAAGGTGTTTTGTTTTGGTGAAGCAAGACTTTTAATGAGAAGTCATTCTGGACTCTCTACCATACCCATTCTTAAGGCCTGGTCAGTGCTCAAGAGAGGACTCCGTTCAGCTGAGGGAGTCACTAAAAGATACATACAGGGTCATTTTCCTGTGTTGAAAGTTTGAACCCTTAAGGAGACAAAATTCACAACCCCATTTTATGTAAGACTGAATATATTCAGTGCCATTTATAGGTGAGGATTTGAGGATGATAATGAAATATCATGGAGTAAAAATTAATCTGACTTAAAATTACCCTGATTTTTATTTGTAGTATAATGTTTAAATAATTTAGGACCCTGGAGAAATGTGCTTTTAGTCACATAGATACACTCCATCTTTGGTTCTGATGCAGAGACACCAGTAATCTTAGGAAAGAAAGTAAATTATCAGGAACACAAGGTCAGGATGTGATCAATTCTAATAGAAGAAATTTAAGGATTAAACATGTCTCAGCATCAATTGTAACTACTCATAGAGGGCCTACTTGGGCATTTGTCCCCACTGGTATGTGCTTTTCTTTTGAGCTTTGGGAGCTATTGCCTCCTGGGATGATGGGTACCTTAAGAAGGCCCAGGGTCTTTTGTGGGTCTGGAGTTTGAAGGAAGACATCCTTGAGAGGAGACGATCCCGGATGTGAAAATAGTCTTCAGGGAGCTCCCACATGTGGGCTGTGTTGCTATCTGTATAGCCTTGTCCTCTGGGAGCAGGTGAGCTGTGACATGAAACAGAAGAAGAAGAAAGAAATTAACACAAGCTTTAGTCACCCTGGCTTTATAGGACTTGTTAAAATTTTTAAAAGCTTAACTAAAAATAATGTTTTTTTAGTGCTTAGATAACATAGAACAGAGAGCCAGCCTTTGTTCTGGCACATTCAGGCACATTGTAATCCCAGACTATGATCAATTGCCTGTAATGAACCTGGGCTTTCTCCTTGGTGTGTACAACGAGGTAGCTACTTTTTCTCCACTTCTCATGCGACTCCAGGTTTACTCTCCTGGCAGGGGCAAGGACCCTAATACCTGATAGGCCCCAAGAATCTCATCCACTCTATAGCTTTCAGATGCCGGGCAGCTGGTATTTCTAGAGAACCCCTGTAAATAGCTGATAACCACTGCCTCCCAAGCCCCAACTAAGCAGCTTGTATATCTTCCCAGTGACTCATGATAGACTATTATAAAAAGTGAACTCCCTAGAGGATAGGTGTCCCTAGAACAGAACTCCCACAGTATCCATACCCAGATTCTGACCTGGCTCTCTGTGGGGTGGAAAAGCATGGGAGGAGATGGTAATAGGCTGGCTCTGGCCCATTCCTAGCCTGTATCATGTGACATTGTAGAATTTACTCCAACCTCTCGAACATCCAGTAGCAGTCTTAAAGGAGCCCTGGGGTAAACAATTAAGTCATACCGAGCATCACATAAAAATACCTAGAAATAAAATATTGGCTCAAGAATTTCAAGCGTTAGCTTCAGCAAATAAATGTAAAATTGTGAGAATGTCCAGGCTTCAACCAGAGGCCTACCCTCAAGTCCTCTCAGTCTTGCAGTCAGCTTCTTATGTTGGAGCATGAGGGTCTTGAGCTGGGTAGAGTAGGGGGTGTGAATGATGCTTTGGGGATCTGCATAATTGGCTTGGTGGGGCACCTAGCACTTGCAAATGACACCAACTGGAATGACCTACCCTGACTGACTGCCCCATGGCTTTGCTTTCACACTCCTTCCTCCAGAGCTTTTTAATTGTTTTCATTGCAATACTAACAATACTGTGAAATTGTTGAATAGGCATTATTTGTTGAGCACACATTTAGTTGGGCAATGTCTACACACATCCATGTACACTTCTGCAGTTTCTGTTATTGCTCATATAATCTTTGGAAAGACAAAGATTAACTTCCTTAAGCCTCAGTTTCCCCATTTATAGAATAAGAGTGACAATGAAAAATCAAACAAAATATTGGATTTGGAATCACACAGTAAATGGTGAAATAATACTGATGACCAAAAGATGGAATCAGATATATTGATAAAGAAAAAAATCATTCACAACATTTGCCAAAGGTGGTAAGGCAGACTTTGGAGATAGGTATAGAGACCATGGAAATGGGGTTTTGCAGTGGGGAAGAGAAATTGTTTTTGGTTTCATCTCCAAC